AAAGAAAGAAAAAGAAAGGATGGAAGGAAGGGATGAACACTATATATATAAATTTTTATCTATACCTCCAACTATTTTCCTAAGAGAATCTTATAGTGATGAGATTACAAGGCAGACTAATAGTTCAAGCCTTTAGAACAAGCTTTCCTAGTGTTTTTCAGGATACCTACAGCAATTTCCATGCATGCTGGATGAAACTTGTGGCAGATATGGCCCTTTTATTCTCTCATGTATTTGAAAATCTTTGTTTTCTTATTTTTGTGAATTTGATGGAAGAAATAAATATTCCTTTCTTTAATCAGCTCCTCTGAGTAGTACAGTTACTCTTTTGACTTTCTTGTGACTGTTTATCAATTTCTGGCCATCTACATTGATATAAAGAAGACAACAACTGGGGTAGGTAGAGCTGACTCATCTGTCCATTTGACTTTTATTCACTAAAATGACTTCATGGAGTGGGTGAGGCAGGGTGATCAACACCTGTACACAAGCCATGTTCCACTGACTTTCAAAGTGATTTCACTTTAGAAATCCTGAGAGGTTTCATTTTTCTAACAAGACATTTCCACTGTGCCTCTGTAATCTGGGCTATCTGGTACTTGGAGACTTGAATGCAGGGCTGAAAACCAGAGCACACCATGGTGGCCTCTGCAAGAGCTTATATCCTCAGGCAGGAGCTGACTGGTCACTCTCTGAATATGAAACCAGCTCTCCTTAATAGATGGCCACTGTTGCCTGTTGCCTTGCAGATGCCTTCAAATTTATTAGGATAAAGCTGCCCTATTGCTTTTGCAAAGGCAACTTTTTGTATCATTTCAGGGCCATTATTGAGAGGTGAGAGTTTCTCTATGAATCAGAAAGCCCTATAGGTAACAAGGCACAGAGGGGGATGGCTATTCTCCTGGACCCAGTTTCATACCAGGAGGATTGGGCATTGCATCTAATTGGTCCAGTATTTTGTATCTCTTCTGGAAAATGGAAAATAGACCACTTTCTCTATAAACTCCTTTTCAAATTCATGAACCTGACTCTGAGACAAGCAAAGCAGATCCTGAAATCTCTGTTCAATCTCCTGAAACCATGGGGTTTTATGTTCAAGCTAGTTATTTTCCTCTTAGCCTGGATTTAATATATATGTGTGAAGGGGGTGCTTTATCATCAAACTCATCAAGGGCATCTGAAGTCCTCTGTGGGAAAGATGTACAGTCCTGTGAACAATGGCTAAACTCTTCCCCAAGCTTTGCGTGATATCAGAAGAAACACACTAATGAAAGCAATTCGTTTACTTCTTAAAATTGTTTTTGTATCTTACAAAATATTTAAAAAATACAGCTTAATTCTTGAGTAGTCACTTTTAGTTTAAAAAGAAGAGAGGACATCCTAAGAAACATCTGTGTCTGCCTCTACTCCCCTTCTGTCCCGAGGAGTCACAGTCACCACTATGTGAGATGGGACCAAGATACCCAGGGAAGGAGCCAGGGGAAAAAGTCCAGGGCTATCTATTTATGTGTCTCTTTCCAAAGTCAAGCCCAAATTCATTTGCATTATATGCAGTGTTCATTGAGATACACGACTATTGAGCAATAAACTGCATCCAGTATTTTTGTGTAGTTCACAGAACCAGACTGAATGCAGAGTCAAAGTTCCCCTAGATCTCTTGCCTAGGAATCCTAAGCCTGAGAACGGAGCAGACTCCCAGGCATCCTCCCAAAATTGTTCAGTGTTGAGGACCACTTTGGGGAATTCAAAAGACATGCATAAAAGTACTTACGCATTTGCTTTTCAAAAGATGATGCTTTGAGGCTTTGGTTGGTGAACTAGTGAAAGAGAAAGATTCATACAATAAATGTGGAGTTATTTAAGGCAAGCCGGCAGAAAAATACCCATCAGTCCCTAGAAAGAGAACTCAGATCCTTTGGATCCCACCTGACTTAGACTCGGGATACACAATGGTATTTGGAGCAGTACTAAGACTTCCAAGTCTTTTCAAACAGATTTAGTCTACACTTCAAAGCAAGATTCAGAATTGATTTTTCCCCTTGAATTGCTAATTACGAAGCTGTGGAAGCTCAATACACTCTTGACAACTGAGAAAGGAATAACTACTTGCCTCAGATTCTCTAAAAGATGGAAAATATTCCCTTTGACCAGTGGCTCTCAACCTTCCTAATGGTGTGACCTTTTAATACAGTTCCTCATGCTGTGGTGACCCCAAACATAAAATTATTTCATTGTTACTCCATAACTGTAAGTTTGCTACTGTCATGAACCATAATGTCAAGATCTGATATCCAAGATATCTGATTTGCAACCCCTGTGAAAGAGTCAGTCAACCACCCCGAGGGGTCGCGACCCACAGGTTGAGAACCTCTGCCTCTAAGGCCGTGAGCCTGTTTCTCCAACTATAGACTAGAAATACTATAACAACCCTTTCCTAAAACGGAGGGGATTAAAAAGATCTTTACCACTGAAACAAAACAAAAACAAAAACAAACAAACAAAAACCCCACATCACTGCAAGCAACACAATGGCCCACATGCAGCAAAGGGACTTGGGGCCTTATTAATCCACGTGCCAGGCTTACCTCACGGAGTTCTGCCAGCTCCTTCTGCAGATGGAAGAGCTGATACATTCCTAACCCCAATCCAACCAAAGCCACCAGAACCATGAAAAATACCACTGGTAGCCATAGGTCTGGGTTGTAGTCAATCCTCTTCTTTAGAGGGGGCAGTGGTGGCAGAGGTGGGGGTGGTGGTGGTGGTGGTTGTGATGGAGGTGGTAGCGGTGACGGAGGTGGCGGTGGTGGTCTCCTCTGGTCTGGTCTTCCAGGCACAGAGGATGGACAGGGGAAAACTGACCCTGGAGGAGCCCAAGGAGAAGCGGCACTGCTGTCCACCCAATAAATTTGGGGACACGGATAATTCACGGGCTGCTGCATGGCACCCAGCCCCGGGGAAGGCTTGTCTTCTTTCAATCTTGCGGAGACTCTTGGAAGTGTGAAGGGCAGGACTCCTGACGCGGACTGTTCCAGAGAAGGTGAGTTCTCTATTTATAAAGTTTCCATAGTCAAGGGAAACACCTCTCTCCCTTTGCGTCTCTGTGACACACCCACTCACTTTGCATCGACGCTGAGAAGCTTCAAAAAGCTCTCAGCAACCCCAGGAAGTCTCCGCCCACAAATTTCTGACGAAAAGTCTTCGAAATTCCAATGGGCGTTTCGGTGCGGCCTGAGAAGGCTGAGAAGTACCTGCCTGAGGTTCCATTCAGCAAGTCAGCCCCGGATTCACCTTGAGGGCATTAGCTGTTCCTGAGCTGCAAGGAATGAATGTCCTGTGTGGCGTTTTGGTGCTGATGCTCTGGGCAAAGACCGTGGAGTTTGGCTAGAGAAGCTATCTCCACATCTTAGCTTTTGCGTGGGTTATTTAATCCCCTGCTGCTGTCCCTTCCCTCAACCGAATACTGCCTCCCATAGCCTTGCAGATCACCTTCATTTCATAGTTGAGAGGGTAAAACCTGCCCCACCCGTTCCACAGATTAGATCAGAGATTGCAAACCACGGGCCTATGTGTCTTGTGGTACCAACAGTGTTTTTTCTTTCAATAATTGCCGCCTTTCAAAATTGGGATCACACACCTTAAAACTACATACTTCGATTCTCTTTGAAAACAGTGGAATATTAGACACCCCAGCCATCTCTGAATGCTAGTCAGCTGCCACCCCGAATCGTCGCAGTTGTTCCCAGCTGCCCAGCCCCCACTGTGCCTCCTATCCCACTTCCCGTGAGAAGTGGCCTTCCAAGCCTCTACAGTCATTTATCTTTGCAATCCCTGTTATGGTCACCAGATGAAACTTGACGTGCCTAACTCAGAAGCGTTCCGGATAAGCAACAAGTAATTTTTATGGCAACTGTGCCTTAACCATCCCATAGAACATACCAAAACTTCATTCAACAATTACAGGAAATTGAACTCAGTATCTTATGCCTTTCTAAAACTGCCCCTTCTGCCTGGATTGATTTCCCTCTTCTGGACACACACACACACACACACACACACACACACACACACACACACACACCATTTACATCTAATAAGCTCTAGGAACTCAGCCTTGGTTCCCCTCATTTTCCCATATAAACCGTGTAAATCCCAATAAACTCCTATATACCGCCTTTGGGGCAAGCTCTCTTTTGAAATGTTCTTAGTTTTTATTTCATGCCTTGGGATGTCTGAGACGGTCATCCTGTCTCTCTCAGCTACGCCAAACCAACACCAAAAGTGTCATTTCCTGGCAGATGTCACACTGCCCCACCCCAGCTGCTAATCCAGCCCCTTTCTCCTGAGGCCACTCTGCGAGCAAGCTCATGCTTCCGGACGGACATCAGGCCTGGTTTTGGTTTTCATCCGAGACACATTTTTTTAATCCTTTCCTCATTCGCTGGTCCTGGTTAGTCTCTCCTTGCTTTCCTACTTCCCACTCCCAGCATTCTTCAAAAATCATCATTCTCCCCTTCCATATCTCTCTTTACCCCTCTTTTGTTTCTTCTTTTTTTTTCTTTTTTGTTTCTTTTTTTTTCTTTTTTCTTTCTTTTTTTTTGGCGGGGGGGTAGAGGAATCAGAAACCCATGCCTACCCATCCCCTACTGCCCTCCAGTCGCAGGAAAAGGAGTACCTAGCCAGAAAAGATGAGAGAGAAACTTCTGGAAACTGGTTTGGAGTTTGGTAGTACTATCCAGCATTACACCCTGGCAAGATGAAGCAAGAAGAAACAACCCTGGGAATAGTCACAGAGACCCATCGCATTGGTACCCAAACCTTAGTAATGAAAAAAAATCCTCATTCTGAGTAGATCTTAGCACTGTGGCTCCTGAGGGAAAAACTAATGCCACCAGGCCAGTTGCCCCCATGTGCCAGAACCTCAAGCTGAGTTCTCTCCGTCTCCTACTTCTATGATTCCAGGGAATTGGCAGGAAAGTTGACTCAGTGGGCTACAGGCCAGAGCTCTGGAAATGACTCAGCAACAGCAGAGGGGGAGGCATAGTCAGACAACCTGCTGTTTACCTTAACTAGCCTAGAGAAGCCCTCCAAGGCAAACTGCCAAGTAGACAGAAAGATCACACCTGTGAGACAAGACCACAGTACACTTCAGTTTGAGTTTACTTATGAGCATGAGCCTATGAGTTCAACTTCTCTAAGTACTTCCAGGATGCTCATTTAGCAGCTCAGTTCTGTACCACAAATTTTAGAAGGTCTTATTAATAAAATCAAACCTGGAGCCAGGTATTGGGGTGAATGCTGGAAGATCAGAGAAGCAGAACAAGCCACAGGCACCTCACCTTGCCAGTTCCTCAGCTGATCCTGTTTCCTCAGACTGGAAGCCTCTGTGTCCTCATCCAGAATGAATCTCAGCTGAACTGCTGCTCAAAAGCCTAAAAGCTTAACCAGGCTCTAGTTCCTCCTGGTCCTCATGCCTTATATACCTTTCTGCTTTCTGCCATCACTTCCCGGGATTAAAGGCTCATGTTGCCATGCCTGGCTGTTTCCAGTGTGGCTTTGAACTCATAGAGATCCAGAAAGATCTCTGCCTCTGGAATGCTAGGATTAAAGGCATGTGCTACCACTGCCTAAACTCTATGTTTAATATTGTGGCTGTTCTGTTCTCCGACCGCAGATAAGTTTATTAGGGTGCACAATATTTTGGGGATCACAATATCACCACACAGTCCCTTGACACCAGCAGCAGTTCCAAAAGGACCATCCTAGCCTCTGCTTTGATCTGTGCTTTGTAGTATCCACCTTTCTGATTTTTGCCAAGCGTTATGAAGCCTATGAAGATAATCTCACCATCTACTAATTGCCTTCTCTCTGGTTTCTTATGAGTTTGAACATCACTTACATATTTCATATATATATATATATACACACACACACACACATTACATACATGTTGGGCAATCCATTCTTTTCCTGTTCTGTATATATTCCATTTGCCACTTAAAAGTTGTTTATCTCCTCCATACTCCATACTGATTTGCAGGATCTTCTTATACTTCATGTATATTTTAGATGTAAACCCATGGCTGCTTTCAGACATGCACATGTCTTCTCCCATACCCATAAAGATTGCACATGTGGGTTTTAATACACCCCAACCTCACTTTTGCTTATGAGTCAGGAGTCTCCATATTTTTGTCTATATGTGTGACATAAAGAACTAAGATAAATCTATTTAAAAGACAGGAAGATTAATTTGGCTCATTGTTGGGAGAACTGTGCAGCCTAATTTCAGACCAGTATATGAGTGCTTGTCCAATGGATCTCCAGATGAGGCAAAAGCCCATGGGGACAGTTTCACTTAGCAAGGACCAGTGGACTTTAGGGACAGCACAGAATACTGCTGGGACCATGCAGCCTGCATGCTCTTTTCTCTCTTGTAATATTGATGATTCTCGTGGTGGTTTTAGTATCACTTTGTCAATCATGTATTGGACAGATGTGATCATTCTGGGAAAACCCATTTTTTTTTTCCTTGAATCTCTTCCCCTAAAATTCTTTGGGAGCTGATGCTTCTCAGGCTTCTTGTCTGAGGATGCCATTTGTCACTTGAGACCCTGGGAGCTGTTCTAATTCAGTGCTGACAGGATCGGAGGCAGATCATCTCTAGTTCTGTAAATAAGTTTTGAACGGGATTGTTGTTCTTGAAAATGTGTGCCTATGTCAATCACCTTTTAGTTTTGTAAAGACAAAATGTATCTAACTCAATATTTGGCCAAGCTAGCAAAATGATAAGTGTTGTTTTGGTTTAAAGATGTTTTGAGGTGAAAGTTGGGGGCGGGGGGACCTGTATTTGACAAACTTGTTTTTTGCTGGAGGTTAACATTGGAGGATGGGAAAAACTTGTGTGTTAGTATGGAAAAACATGCTTGTTTTGATATATAAATAAAGATGGCTGAAACTATTTGGGGCCGGTCACTTGTGTGAAACTCATCTGGTGGCTGGACAGTTAATTTCTTTGCAGCAACACCCCTTCCCTGTCTTAGGATCTGAACTCAGGCTGTAGCTGGACCACAGCAGCTCATGACTTGAGAGGGTTCAGTGCATGGGTGGTGTGGGTGAACCTCATGGGTGGCATGGAGCTTATTATAGAACAAAGCTGATCATCTCATTGGTGGCCAACCAGCACAGGGCCTGCTTTTATAACAGAGCTCCTTCCCACAATTATTCAGTTTGGTTTTCAAGAGGAAGAAGTTTTGTGTGTCTTTTTCTAATATGAAAGGGAAAGCTATCAAGGGTAACTTGTTTCTTATTACACCAGACTGAAGGGGGCTGTCCACAGCCTGTGGTGACAATAACAATGGGTAGAAATGATTCTTCAGCCCTTTGTACCACATACAACAGTACTGTTGTGACCTCAGAACTATTTGCTTCCCTTCTGCAGCCCATCGTTATCAGTCAGGGCTGGTCAAGAAAATGAAAGTTACTCTAAGTATGAGGAGCAATGAAAGACTTAATCTAATGAAAGGCTGGGTTTAAAAAGGTAATTAAGGCCAGTTTTTAAAACCTTTAAAGGATGGAGGTCTTGTTACAACCAAAAATTCCAGTTCCTAATAGCATTGAGATTGGTGATGGTTAGATGGCCACCCAAAGACCATAGGAAAATACCCAATAGCCTCTGCTATATTCACCTGTCCTCCAGGAACTACTGTGAAGAATAAGTGCTTCTCCTTTCCATCTTCCAAGCCTCACTTATCGATGGACTCTAATTAGGGGATCCTACCTGTAACGGAGAATAGGAATGACAATCATAATCTCTAGACTTTATCTTCCTGGAGGCAGGGTAGGGGCGGGAGTAGAAGAATGGAGATGGTACTGAGCATTAACAAATTGTATGTTGTGCTCTGTGGCTACTTTTTCACCATCACTGAATTCAAAAGTAGATCTTGGCAGATGGGTGAAGGCAAGAGAGTCCCAGGTCAGGAACAGGACCCCTTGATAAGAAATGAGAGTCTTCTGCCACCTCAGGCAGGAATACTATGTGCTCCATGAGCCAAGG